TTTCTTTCTTTCTTTCTTTCTTTCTTTCTTTCTTTCTTTCTTTCTTTCTTTCTTTCTTTCTTTTTTAGCTTCCCTACAGTGCCTTCACAACCTGCAGAGTTTTGCAGAAGAAGGTAAGAAAGAAGATGGAACATTATTTCGTATTTCAAACTCTTCTGTCAAATTCTTTCATTTGTACTTTCAGAATAAGCCAGTTTTCACTCCTCTCTCCTTTCCTCTTTCAGGTGCTGATCGTTCACACGAATTTTTTGACGTCCCTGGTGCCCAAATCCTGCAGCCTCTCCAATCTTGTAACAGTAAAGGTGATTCGCAGTTCTTTTCATCAACGGTTGGCGGAAGCTTGTTAAGAACCAGAATCAAAAGAAGAAGCAACGAAATGTAGTTTATTTTTGTTTTATTTATTTAGCTTAGTTCATCAAGCATGTATGGGAAAGCAAGTATAAGCATGGACATAACATATCAACGTATAAGTATAAGCAGGTATAAATATATACACAATACATGAGTACAAATAAATGGGAACAGTAGGTCAGGGATGGTAGGCACGCTGGTGCGCTTATGCACGCCCCCTTACAGACCTCTTAGGTATGGAGTGAGGTCCACAGTAGACAGTTTAAGGTTAAAGTTTTGGGGGGTTGAAGATGTAACTACGGAGTCACAGAGTGAGTTCCAGGCGTTGATCGTATTTCCTGCAATTGAGTTTGGAGCGGTTTACTTTGAGTTTGTATCTACTGTGTGCTCGTGTATTGTTGTGGTTGAAGCTGAAGTAGTCATTGACAGGTAGGACGTTGCAGCAGACCATTTTGAGGTCCAATATTTCGAGCCTGGTAGCATCAGGTGTTCTATTGTGAGCAGAGGCATGGAGGACTCTTCTCGTGAAATACCTCTGGAGTCACTCAATCGTATTAATGTCCGTTATATAGTGTGGATTCCAGGAAGATGAGCTGTATTCAAGTATTGGTCTGGCGAAGGTCTTGTATGCCCTGGTTTGCAGTTCAATGTTACCAGAGAAGAAACTTGGCAAAATTAGGTTGAATTTTTGAATGAGTTGTGTTTTAGCAAACTTTTCAGGGGGCGGCCTGGAGCTATTGTTGTATTCTTCCATTCCTTGTTTCTGGATTATCCCGTCACCTTTTGTGGTTCACCCTGGAGGCTAAGCTGAAGGTTATTGGAGCGAACAACCTCTTTGAGAAGCACACACTTCTCTACACTTGGGAGTGGATTGTTACGGATTTCTTTATTCTTCTCTTCCAGGTTTTAGATCTCCATGACAACCAACTGACTTCCCTTCCCGCCGATATCGGCCAGTTGATTTCTCTTCAGGTAAAAAAATAATTCTGGATGCTCGGGAATCTCTTGGCAGTTTCAGGAGCCAACAGTTTTTTTGCTTTTCCTCTCTCCCTTTTGATGTGATTTGACGTTTTGCCCACTTGATCACGCGGGGGTGGACTTGACACGCGAGCTTCAAGAGACGTGCCTGTTTATCCCTTTGTCTCCTGTCGCTTGGTAGGTTTTGAACGTGGAAAAGAACGTTTTAAAAACTCTTCCGGACTCCATCGGGGACCTCGCTCAGCTTCAAACACTGAATTTGAAAGGTATGGCAAAACAGCGCCTGTGCGTCTCTGGAAAGAACGGCGGCTCTGGTTTTTAACTTACGTTTTGGCAGGCAGGGGGTGCAAAAGGTGCCGGAAGCAGTGGATTAAACTGAAAGTTTGCTGATAATAGCTCGGTTTCCCACTTTAAAATTTTTAGAAGAGGACGCGGAAACCTTGAGTTTTGCATCCAAGGCGGTGGTGATATTCTAATTTCTTTTATTACCGGTTCTGTGGGCATGGCTGTCAGGGCTACTCAAAATTTCCGCTACCGGTTCTTCAGAACTGGGCTGAATAACCACCTCTGATCCAAGGGATATAATCACCAAGTTTCCGTACAAAAGCCAACCATAATTTAGCCTAGCAGGGATAATTTTTGCTTCGGAGTCTTAATAAGGAATTCCAAAATTGATTTTTTGTTTGTTTGTTTCCCGAACGAAGGCAGATATACGTGTCCCAGGATCCAATCTTGGTCGGCCACCGGGACTTTTGTTTTAAATGTTGGTTGGTTGCTTGAAATCAGACCTAACCACAGCAGATTAAAAAACAAGATCATTTTGAAAGCTGATAATTCTGTGGTGGTTTCCATTAGCCCTCAGGAAGTTCAGATTGCACATTCATGATCAACCAGTGCAAAGTACACTTCATGTAAAACTTTAGCCTGTGGGCCTCCAGAGGGCAGCTTAGCCTAACCAAAGCCCTGTATCTGAGTGCATGAATATTGCAAGCAGATAACAGATAATAGAATAACAGAGTTGAAAGGGACCTTGGAGGTCTTCTAGTCCAACCTCCTTCTCAGGCAGGAAGCCCTATCCAATCTCTTCTTGAAAACTTCCAGTGTTGGAGAATTCACAATGTCTGGAGACAAAATTGTTCTGCTGATTGATTGTTTAGATGTGAAGCATTCAGACTCCAAACGCAGGTCATCTTTGACCCGGCCACTATTCTGTTTAACAACGGTTTGATGTTGCAACGGTCGAATTAGAGCAGAGTCTTTGCGCAACATTCTATTACATTACAAACTTTTTCTTTTTTTTTTCCTCCCACTTTTCATTTTTCTGGTTTTCTTTGCAGGGAACAAGATCAAGAAATTGCCCTCCACTTTGGAAGGCCTGCGGAGTTTGCGAACGTTGGACGTCAGTGAAAATTCGGTGCAGGAGTTGCCGCAGGCGCTGGCTCACCTCCGAACCTTGGAGGTAGCGTTACAGATAGAGGCGCTTGGCTTAACTTCGGGCTGTCACTCAGGCCAGCCTTCTTGCCCTTCCTTAAATCTGGCAATAGTCCGGAGAAAAGGCAGGAGAATAAGTCAGGAATTGTGGAGCAATTGTGGATCTATCTATCTATCTATCTATCTATCTATCTATCTATCTATCTATCTATCTATCTATC